AAACGAACAACTTTCTTTTCTTATATATTTTTCTTGTATTACAATATTGAAGATTTAAAATTCATTTGTTTATACGTTTGTATAGTTCTAAGGATTTTTATTTATTTATTTTGTTTGTATTAATTATTATATATACTTTAAAATACCTTTTAAAAAATAGAATTGAATATATAACGTATTTGTTTAGATTAAACACTGGGGGAGGGGAAATAGTCTTCATAACATTCGTGCATTTCTAGAACTTTTTAAGCTAAAAATGAAGACTGTAAAAAAGTGAAAAATATTTTTGATTTCTTAGTGTGGACAACCTCAATTAAACATATAACGTTTATCACAGTCCGACTAGTTTGCCGCGGCAAATGTACTAAGAATATTAACATGAAAATCCAGGGGTGATTGAATCATACAATACTAGATAATTTAAGTTTTCTTTTTTTAAAGTAAGTCCTGGTTTTTGGTGAATATGAAAGGTATTAGGCGATAACTAAAACATTATTGAATATAACTAATTAAAATTTGATTCACTGTAAACTAGACAAAATTTGTCATTGTTAAAACTATTTAAAGATGACTTTTAAGCGGATAAGCTAAGCAAAATTCTGTTTTTAAAAAATCATGAATTACCGTCAAGTTGATTTGTAATGTTTTTAACATTACAAGTAAATTTTATCTAATTTGCAGTGAAACAATTTTTAATTACTTATATTTTCTAATATTTTCGCTATAACTTCCTATTTATCAACAACCATGACACTTAAAAAAACACAAAACTTAAATTTCCTGCTATTCTGCCGAAAATCGGACCATTGTTTATATGAACTTTTTTAAACCTCTAGAGGTCTATTACTACTTGTTTAAATATTTCCAGCCACTTACTTAACACCCTCTATATTATTATCTTGGAATATAAATGACAATTTAAATAAAAGTAACAATTACGTATCAATAAAATCGTGTCATACCTACTACTAGCCTAGCCAGCTATTTGAATTTTCTTATATTTTATATTTTAGTTTGTACATTTTAATCATTCGTGTAGCTTATTTATTATTGAGTTTTTTTACCTCAAAATATTGGGGGCTGAGGGGGGAGGAGCGAAACGATATTCTCGCCCTCTCACCATGGGGCGACCGCCTCTCTCGCCCATCCCCACCCCCCACGAAGATGAAAGGGCGTTGGAACTGTATATTTTCTTCGAATTCGTCGAGGAAGACGGTTTGGATTCGGTTCATTGGGCTCGTAAAGTTTGTGTATGAAAGCTTTGATGAGCGAGAAGTAACCTGGAGGGGACACAGCCTCGTGTAAATATAGGCTAAAGCAACCTGGCCCAGAGCCAACCTGACAAACAACAATACTTTTCTCATTGACCTTTCTCTACACGATGAGTCTGTGTTTACAGACATTTACGATTTTTGATCAAATCGACAATTTTCAAAATAATATGTTTTGGTTTGTGCATTCTATTGAATATTTATTGAGCCATGTGTGTCGATTTGTGCCGTAGGTTAAAGTGACGTGTCACTTTAACCTACGGCACAAATCGCCCTTCTCCTAATAGTTTAATTTTACTATATTATAAGATATTAAAAGTTATGCAAAATTGTTTTTAATTGTACAAAATTGCTTCACGTTTCTATTTTACAGCCAATTAAGAAACTTTTTTTTTTAATGGTTTTATTGAATGTTAATACAGTCTGCCACGCTGAAGGGCATTGTTACTAGGGATACAGTATTCATTCACACAATAACAATGAGTTGGCAAATTAGTCCTTTCAGTTTTTCAGGGTGAAACAAAACTTAATGTATTATAGACATAAAATTTATTTTAATCTACAATATATTGGCCATTATTTAATATGGCTTTTTCCCATCTTTCCACTAACTGCGAATAGAATGTCTGGAGTTTATTGTTAAAAAACTGATTCAATTGGTTGTTGATGTCCTCTTCCTTTTGGAATTTCTTCTCATTCATGGAGTTCTGCAGAGACCAGAATAAGTGGTAGTCACTTGGAGCTAGGTCTAGTGAATAGCGAGGGTGGGGCAAAATGTCCCATTCAAGGCTAATTTCTCATTATTTCTTGCGAGTGATTAATTGCGAACACCTAACTTCCTCGCGTCCCTCTCCACTCTATCCTTCCACCTGTTTCTCGGTCTTCCTCTAAAGTATGCTTCCAGTATTTTCTTCTGCACCAATTCATTCCCCATTCTGACCACATGCCCTGCCCATTTCAGCCTACTTTCCTTGATACAGTTAATAATATTATTATTCTCTACTGTAGCCTCGATTTCATTGTTTGCTCTTAATTTTCCATTCACCATTAACTCTTGTAGCAATGTAAATCCTTCTTATTGCCTTTTTTTCAAATACTTTTAGTTTATGGCAATCCTCTTGCGGCAATCACCAGGTTTCCGCTGCATAAGTGACTATCTAATAAAAGTTTTACATGACTTTAATTATGTAGCTTTTGGCAACAATGGAGACTTGAGAAGCTTAAGGTTTGCATAGTAAGCTCCGTTACCGGACATTACTCTGTTGTTGATCTCTTTGCTGATTAAATTTTCATTATTGTGGGCAGAACCGAGATACACAAAGGTGGATGCATTTTCAAACCTAAAATTCCTTATTTTGATATCGCTACAGGATCTTCTGCTTGCTGCCAAGGAAAGTTTTATGTATTTAGTTTTGCTTTCATTGACCCCAAGCTCTACTTTGTAGCCAGAGAGAAATACTTTATTTAAAGCAGTGCTGCCCTACTATATAGGATTGCTCGATACACAGCATACTCATTAAAACTGTTTTTTTTAGACATTTAATTATACTTGAATCAATTTTTATTATTATAATAATATTATTTCAAATGCCTCTTTAAGTGCCTTTTCACTTCTGCCAGCAATCACTAGGTCACCAGCATAGGCACAAATTATCCATGTCTTATACACGATAGTGGCTTTTTTAGCTGCATCTTTCACAGCTGCATGCAGAACTGTGTTCAATAGCGTTTCCGTTCAAAGAATCTTCTTGACTTCAGATTGTACCGTAATCAATGGACCAACTTTATTTCCAATCAGCTTTGGGTAATGCATTTTCCATGGTCATGCGTATGAAATTAATTAACTGATGCGGCACTCCATTCTTAATTAGCATGTTTAAAAGTGCTGATCTCTCGATGCTATAAAATGCCTGCTTGCAGACAACGAATAACAAGTGCAGATCGACTTCGTATTCATAGCGTTTTCCATAATTTATCTCATAACAAAAATTTGATCTGTAGTACCTCTGCCAGCTCTAAAACCACATTGGTAATCATCTAAAATTTCCTCAGCATATTTTCGCTGGCTTTTTAATTTTAAACTAGAAAAGAGTTTATATTGGATTCACAACAGGGTCATTCCTCAATAATTTGCATTTAAATGTTAGAAATTATAAGAAGAAAACTTGAAGAGAGTTATTCAAGATTAATTATAAAAATTAGAGGAAGAATAGTTAACTATGACTTAATGACTTTATAAAAATATTAAAACTTCAGTAGCTTCAAAGTATATTTCGTCATTAAATTGTGTTATATATTTTGGTTTCCTTAAGAAACAACATTAATTTTTTTTATAGCATTAGCTTCCTTCTAAAGCGATTCTTCAAAGCTATTTATGATGTTAGGACTAGATTAGAAAAATTGCTGATTATTTCTGGGTCTCTGGAAATTGCAATTAGTCGAGCTAACATTTCAGAAAAAAAAGTGTTGATAATACCGACTTAGAAAATACAATATTATACTATATCACATACAGAAAATAACGAGTAACGTTGTTTAAACAATAATAATATATAAAATAATGAGAATTTTTTTTCCAAAATACTATCAGATCAGAGACTTGAGAAACGTCGAATCTGATTGTCTGACTAAATTTTTGTGTTAACTAGAGATATTAGACGTGACTGGACTGGCTGATGTCCTTGATTGTTGCCATAATGAATTGTAGCTATACAAGCCATACTTTACCGTACCATCTTCTTGTATCTCATGAAATACCAATTTTTTTCTCGATAATATCAGTATAACATAAAATGAAATGTAATATAATCAATTATCAAAATATCCATAGAAGGAGCGCTGGGGAAGATTAAAGTTTAATGTATTATATCCTTCATATTTTTATCCTAGAATAACAAGATTTGTTTTATAAGGAAACAAATTTTATATTCTGATATTCATACACCCTGAATGAAAACATTGACACTGGGTCCCTCACCACCAAACACAATAGTTCAATAATTAGCTTATTTAATTCAATAATCGGTATGTTTAATAATTAGCATATTGCTATTTATTAAATATGTTACTTTAGATCATAGAAAAACGCTGCAGAATAGGTACATTTTGATGTTTTATTGACATTAACATAGTAAATTTCAACAGACTTAATAAAATTAACTTGATAATACACTTCATTGTCAAGAAAGATAGTGATAAGCCATCACCTTCGAATGGAAGGGTTGTACAATCTATACAATGTTACTAATTATTTTTTATTTATTTATTTAGAAATATAATAATCTGTCACGTGGACAATAATTATAGTGATATATGAACACATTCACACCACAAATAAAAAATCAGGTGTGTCCACTTAAATGACTTTCCTACCGATTTTAAACAATATTTCTAAAATGCAAAATTATATTCCTTTTACCGATTCTTTACATATAGTAACTAAAATTTTCTAGTATTAGTAATATTTTTCCTTGAATTTCGTTCACAAATAATTTTTTTTTTTTTTTTTTGACCAACTAGGTCTTGATCATGCAACAATTAGATAAAAACAGATGAATAAAAATCGTGGATGTGGTAAAACTTGAGATACATAATCTCTTTGTTTCAACTTGACAGTAGAGTAAGATATTTGCTATTCGTTACCCTGTTAATTCTGATTAGTATTTTTCCCTCTTGACTCCCGTTAGTTCAAGAATTGTTGAAGTGAAAACAATGTTCCCTTTTTGTATGTTAGCAACCATTGAATTTGAATAATTAAGTTAGATGATAGTATAGATGCTCAAACTATTGGACTCCGTCGAGCTTTTCATCTTTTTACCGTAGTTTAATCCGGAAAGCCGTTTATGAGGGGTTCTGAGTTTTTACTATTTTATATTATTATAATTATAGATAATAATTCAAAAAAATCCAACTCCTTGATAGCCTTTATGGAGTGATGTGATTTTGGATTTCTTTCCTTTTCTGTACTCAAGTTGCCTGCCTGGATTTTTCCAATTTTAAGCTAACATTGCATTTCTTCCTCTTGGCGAGATTTTACTCGTTTAAATTATCGTAATTATACTTTGGCTAATTTCAATAGTACTCGATGTGCCATACAATTTTTATAATTGCTTTAATACTTTCAGTTTCTTTCTGATTTTCATTCTCGGGTTTATAAAAATAGTCGATAGAGCTTTATTGCTTAAATCTGTTTTTAGTTTTTGTTATTAAGGTCACTTAAAATACCCGTAAAGTCAAGCCATCCGTGCTTCACACCCTAGTAAATTAGATTGTCTAGGACTTGACTGTTTTTTTTCGCATGTCTTTCGGCGAATTGCTTAATCTTCTCGCTCCATTTAGATTGTATCTTAAGAGTGGTTACGATTAGTGACACTGAGACAAAGGTGTTGCGACCGTTCTATTTTATAATTAGGATCCAGGCGCAATTAGTTGCAATATCGACTCGACTGAATGCAACGCATGTCCGGAAAAGGAGCACAAGTTGATACGGGACGATGACCCATGACGAAGGAGGGAGAGAGTGAACAGCTGACGAAATGCAAATAGGAGGCGGCGGAGAGACGATGAAGCAAGGAGGGAAGGAGGGAAAGAGGGAGGAAGGGAGAGAGGAAAGGAGTGGGGGTGTTGTGAGAGTGGCCAGTCGGGCAGCCGTCATCATGGAGGAGGCTCCGCTTTTGGACCAAGCAGGTATTTGACTGCAACTCAATTTTGTGTCGACACCACCTCTCCTTTGCCTTTGGCGAAACAGCATCGATCCTGTCCAATCAGGCCCGGTGAAGGATACGCCACTGGTTGCTTTCACGAGTTTTGTGCTTTGTTTCTTGCTTTCGAATGCTGTGGTGGAATACTTGGGCGATCGCCGCTGTCAAACGTTATCGCGATAACCACCGTAAAATTAGCGGAAGGTGTCAAGTTGTAGTTTTCGGTTCTTTAGGTGTGCGATAAAGAGTTTGTTTAGGTTAAGATAGTTTTTTTTTTAAAAATCATTGTACGTAAACAAATCGTGCCTTAACAAACTGTGCTGCTATCCCTTGTACGTGATTCCTAACACTTTCTGAAATCTTTTGTTTATTTATTCTGATTAAACGGACTGCTATTATAGTTTTATTATCCTGTTTGAATAGCATGCACCTTAATACATTTCTTGTGCACATGTACGCACGTTTATTTTAAATGTATAGTGGCTGAAGTTTTACAGAACCTCTCATTAAAATCAGTGACCATGCCTGTCCTCGAAGGTTGCAATTGGTAGCACACAGCTATCTTGTCTATGTCAATATTTTTCTCCTCGCTCCAATGGCTAAACGCTATAAAAGGGCTTTAACATCATTAATTTCTAGTAATCAAAAAGTGATAAAATCTAAATAACCGATCAATAAAAAAAAACTTATGACAAAAAGTGAAGTGGGTTTTTTCGCTTCAGTGAAACAGTTTAGTTGGAGCAAATCCTTGAGAAATATTAATGGCAACAGGTGGAAGAATAGTTACTCCATAGGCTACGGACCATGGATAAGTGCTACTGCCCATTTTCACCGTAATACTGCAACCCTCCGCCTCCACGGTGGCATGAATTGTACACTGCAGGGGGCACGCATCCAAATCAACCTTCCTAATCAATGTTATTTTATTATGATTTAATCTGGAAATATATGTCGGGCATTTATCGCTATAGAAACCCACAATTTTTTCTAATATAAATAAATAAATTCAAATTACACACATCGATTAAATTTTAAATTAATATAATTTCAAAAAGCCTTGGAAGTTTTTTACCCTATCCAACCCATCATCTTTTTTAAAAATAACTTAAAAATAGTTACTGATTGAAGCATGGACCTATTGAACAAATTCATTATAATAGAAAAAACAACTACAACATTTATGCAGCTTATGTTTGAGGAGTGTAAAAAAAAAAAAAAAAAAAAAAAAAAAAAAAGAAAAAGGGAAATTAATTAACACATTTGAAACACATGATTTTACAATTCGAGAAATAAATTACATTAGAAGCGAATTAAAACAATAATTTTATTTTTATGGTTGATCAGTTTGATGACGAAGAGGAAAGAACTTCAATAATTTCAGAGTCCTATAATTTTTGGGAGATTTTTAAATTTTACTCATGGTTTTAATTTTTTTTAAGTAACAATTAATTAATACAATTCTTGTAAACAAAAAAAAGTATAGCCAGAATAAAAATAAATATGGAAAACTCTATTTCAGTATAGGAAATAAAACATAAAAATATAATTATATTTTCTACGTACCAAGTATTGATTATCAGTCTTAATAAAACAACTATAATTTGGCGATTTTTCTAGACTTAGTTATCTCATTTAGGTCGAGTAAATAAAACTCAATATTTACAGGAAAGAATCAATATCAGAAAAATTCAGAGTGAACACAATGGGATTTTAAAATCTATTGTTCTGATATTTCATTGGAGGGTATGGATATGGGAACAATAGGGGTCTCAAATCGTTGCCAAAATATATAATCAGGGGAGCCCTTCAAAAACCCTTCAAAATATGCCCCCCTTAAAAATTTTGATTGCACATTGCTCCATAAACCCCCTTCTAGGCACCCCTATATATAATTGTATATTATATATACATATCATTCTTTAATATGTCAAAAACATGTTGATAAATATATTTACTTCAAACTAGTAAACACATTAAAAACAAATATTTTATAATTTTTCATCTGCTTTATATTTTTATTTTATGTACAAATGTACAAAACTGAACTGTAAGACTTATGTAGGTATTTAGTATTATGATAAATATTTTATTCGATAATATACAATTGTTTTTTTTATTTTTTACAATTTAGGAATCGTAAAATATTGATTGAAACATTGATTGGCTAAATTAAAATTGTAATTATTGTTTTTATTAATCGTAACATTTTTTTGTTCTCTCAAAATTCTCATTATTGTATGACTTTTTTTATCATTATCGTATTTAAATATACGAAAAGATAGGATTCGTATTCCGCAATTCGTACTATCTTTGTATCAAAATTTAATTTAATTTTATCAACTGTATAAAGAGAGTATGTCATACTGGAATAAAGGAAACATTAATATATAAAGGAACTTCTCCATTCCTCGTATGTTTAAAATGACTAATAAATCGCAGTTCATATCTTCCTTCTTTTATGATTCACGGAAGTAAACTTCCTTATAGCATGGGGTCCTTATCCAAGCATGATAACACTTTATTTAAATATATTTTACAATCTATTAATACATTATTAAATTAATATTTTTACTAACTACTGCTTTGAATTGTAATTATAACTTTAAATTTTATCCCTGATTTATTTAATTAAGAAAAATAAAAAAGGCTACCAATATCTGTTGGTGTATATTTCTATTGACTAAAACATTTAAAATACAATTAACAAAGCGACAAGTATTTGATTATTTTATTTTATCACCCCTTAAATTATTTTTATAATTAAACGGTAAAGTTGTTTGACATACTATTAAAATACTCATATTTGCTACAGACTATTTATTTCCTTTTCGTCCAATAGTATTAACAATGTAAATTATAAAATATGTATAATATTTAAGGAACAGGAATAATTTAAAGTTGCATCCAATAATTTAATTGTATTATGATCTGAGATGTTGTACCTCTAAATACTGTACTTGTAAGATATTGTAGATAACATACTTTTAGGCGATTCATAAATTAATAATTGTTAGATCATCATATCAATTTATTAGAAAAACAAATTACGATAGATTCTATCCTTTATTGTTTATCTTAGAATCATAAAAATATTTGACTAACATAGCATATATGACCATTTTCTTTGAAAGTAGAACAAGTCCATTTTATATTATATGAAGATATTCAAAATCATTTGAATGGTTTGAATAGAATTGGTATATAATAATATGCTCATTTTATTTTTTTAATTTTAAGGATTTTTGGGGTATTTTGTATCCACAAAAAACTCATAAAACTAACTTAAACTTTTTGTGAAAAAAGTTGACTTTCACAATTACAATAAGACAACGATTGTGTAGAAGTTTCTATATTTTTACAGTTAATATTGGTGATTATTCAACAAAAAATATGTTATTATGTTACTTTTATTTCGTGGAGAAATGCTAGTTAAGTTCTAAAGAATTAACATTAAAGTTTTTCCCACAGAGTATACACAAGTCTAATTTAATATTTTTATACACACATATAATTTAGTGGACTGTCTGTCTGGTGGGCTTGAGATCTGATTAAAGAGACTAATGAATTGTTTCATTAGATTTATTTTTGGAGTCCCCAGGCGCTCCCACGTCTCCAGTTGCTATGCCGAGTTGAAGTGGCTCTATCCAGTCTTCCGACGGCAATACTTCCAGGTGTATTCCTTTTCGACCAAAAAACCTTCTCATCTTCTAGATTTGTTTACTCCTTGTTCCTCTGCCCATTAGTTCAACACTATCTGCCAATCCCAGCACTCGAACCTGTTTATTCCTTCTCATAGATCTGTTTCCTTTAAATACTCCTTTGTCATACGGAATACCTTGTTTTGGAATTCCCTACCAACCTCCATGCGCAAATCCTCATCCTTGACCTCATTTAAACATAATTTATTGATCCATTTCCTCAGCAATCAATCTTCCGAATATGTGTAAAATAATGTTAACGTTTTTCAGGCCAGTCGCATTTAATGTTATCCTACAGATAATTATATATCGTCCACATTATTTATGTGTAAAAATATATGAGCTCGCATATCTGAATTTATCTAAAATTTCATATGTCTATCGGTGTCTTTTCTTTATTGTAATTTTAGATCTAGATTACCCTGTAATTTCATTTATTTCCAATTATTTCTAATGTCAGACAATTGTCATTAAATTGTACATTGTAGTTATTCTAAGAGGACTTAGTCCAAGAATAAAATTTATTTTTCTTCTTCTATAATTTAACATTTCTCACGGAATACGTGCATATCAAATTCCATGGTGTTAGTTGGATCAAATACATTGGTGTGTTAGTCCACTAAATAAATACCCTTCAATTTTTTATTTGTTATTATCAATCATTTAATAACAAAGTAAGATATCATTAAAATATGAGATAAATATAATTAGAAAGCTATGAGCATGAAGAAAACCATCTCATTTTTTTAATTATGGAAATCTCTACTATAGATGTCCTTAACTGAGACAGATTGTAATATTTTTCAACAAAAAAAAAAGGTTATGGAACTGGATGTGTTGCAATGTTTACCCTCCAAGTTCAACTTTTGCGAGATTATAAAATGAATGCCTGAGTGATGAATTGAACCTTTTGTCGTACTGATAAAGAAACAATCGGTTCACTAGAAACGATAGATAAGTCACAACCCTTAAAATAAGATAAAAATGAACATGATAGGCTCGAATAACATGAATGAACATTCACAAACGTATAGATAGCACAACACGCCAAAAACTACATTAATAAATTCCGATCTAAAAAAGAAAGTTATCTGAATAAATAGTAGTAAAATCAATCAAAATAAATGCTTCATGTCCAACCAGCTGAGACCCTTTTTTAAATCCAATTTTTTGAAATTAAAGGAGTTTTTGAAGAATTATTAAAAGGTTAATATTTGCTGTACCGAATGATAAACGTCCGAGGGGTAGACCGAAGCGAAGGTGGGAAGATTGTGTTAAAGCCGATTTGAAGGGACTGGATATGGACGCCGAACGGTGGAGGGAGGTGTGTAATAAGGGATTGGTGGTGTCGGCATCGAACCTTCGGGTTCGCTAAACCTTTTATTATTTAAATCTTTATTATTCTCTTATTTTCTTCATTTTTAATGGAAAGCTCTATAATATTCTCTATTTTCGATAATGAAAATTTCCAGGTATACAAACAATTGGTTTATTTGTTGATTTACATGTTAAGTTAACGTATCTTCAAAACTTAAAATTTCATATTTTCATAGCGATTTATGGCTTAAGCCTGATGTGCTGCTTTGTCATGATGATTTGAAATGTATGTTCTAAATAAAATAAAGTTATACTATCTGGAGCATCAACATTCCTAAGACCAATAATTGGGTGCCTGATTATTATTCTCGCTTTTGCGGCTTCAAAGCTGAAGGTGGGGGACAAGCCTAACCACCTCCATTTATATATTTTTTTTTAGATATTTAAGAACTTTCTAGTGATCCTGGCTGTATCTCCGAGAACTGCTTGCTGAGCCTCTCTTAACCCATCAAGCGCTAATTCCAAACCGTCCGTACCTGCCACCGTTGACTTTGGGATCAGGCCATTTGTTGATATTAGTATTGGTGTAACCAATACGCTTTCCAAATGGTTCAATTCCTTTATTTCGTCGCCAATTCTTGGTACTTACGGAGCTTCTCTCCCACGGTTGTGCTTATATTATTATCATTTGTAATCGCGATATCTATTAGCTTTGCCTTCTTTGTTCCTAAATCTATAATAAGGATATCGGGTCTGTTGTGACGCACTCTATGATCCGTTATAATAGATTCGTCCCAATACATCATGAGGGAGCCTGCCAGAAGTAGCCTAATCGGATTGTATTTATAATATGGCACCTTTTCATCCAACAGATTAAGT